GCCTGGGAGGCAAACTGGAGGACAGTGGAATTCCAATCGGACTGCAAAGAAGTGGTGGACATGATCAACAAGGAAGAAAAGCAGCAGTCCAGAGCAGCTATCATCCTTGAGGACATTGCAAATATGAGGTGTTTGTTTGAACAATGTACTTTCTCCTTTGTGCATAGAACGGGGAACGTTTGTGCACATAGTTTAGCGAAGTATGCAATTAAGCTTACAAAACCTGTTAAATGGGAAGTGTATTTTCCCATGTGGCTCTATGAAAGAGCACAAAATGAATACCAAGGAAGTAAGTCTGATGTATCAAACTCTTGTAGTATCAAGTTATGAAATGAAATGCAATTATGCTGTTTGACAAAAAAAAAAAAAAAGGATCATGGATAAATTCAATAAGGGAAAAATACACTTTTCATCCTCAACGTTTGGGTTGTTGACCAATTTCACCTCAAAGTTTCACCCAAAACACATTTCATCCTCAAAGTTAGGTAATTTTGGCCAATCAAGGACAATTGACGGGAAATGGCAAATTTGTCGTTAGAACCAATTGTAAACCCAACAAAAAATAGGTAAAATCAAATGGAGCCATATTTAACGGAACAATAATTTGCAACGGACGACAACCAACATTCTTCTCCTTCTTCCCTGCCTTTTTGCAACCACAAAATTTTTTTGCCAATCTCTGGATATTCAGAACGACAAGACTTCAGAATCACTAATAAATGATGGGAATTTGCATATGCCTTTCTGCAACCACAAAATTCTACTCTGGATCTTTAAACATTTCATCCTAGAGCATTTGCCAGTGGTTCTGAAGTCTCATTTTTGCCGAATGAGGAGCAGAAGTTCTGAAGTCTCTAGTGGTTCATCAACTCCATTATGCAATTGTGGGTTGAGAACAAAATGAGCATCTATTGGTGTGGCGAGAATCCGAGAAGAAGATTCCTTTGGTTGCTCTTTGTGGCCCGTAAGAAATATTTGTCTATAAATATTGGTCCTTAGATTTATATTTGCAGGACTGCAAACATTCAAGCCAGTATCACTATCATTGCTTCAGCACTAGATGCTCAACATCTCCAAGCTCCACTTCGCCTCCTTTCCATTGCTCATCAGTCTGAAAAAGCTTTTCAATTTGCTCTAGTGATTTCCCCTTCGTTTTTGGGACACACTTGTAAACAAAAGCAACAGAAAGAGCTGAAATTGCTGCAAAGACAAAAAAGGTTCCACCTACTATATATAGCATGAGAAATGGTTAGCAAAGACATGGCAACCAGGCCACTACTGACTCTATCCCCGCAGCCCCAATGGAGGATGCTTGAGCTCGTAACCTTAGAGGGAAGATTTCAGAGGACAAAACCCAACAAACTGGGCCAATTCCCACTGAGAAGAATGCTGCATTTCCACATACACAGAGAATGGCCAACTTTATCCCAATTGGACGATTCCCCAGGAAGGAGAGAGTTAATCCCATAATGAACAAACAAGCAGTCATTCCAATTGTACTCACATAAAGAAGTGGTTTTCTACCTACTTTGTCAATAAGTAAAATAGCTATCAGGATGAAGACTATTTTGGTAAACCCCACGGCAACTGTTGCAGCATGAAGTTCCGAACTGCTCTTGATCCCGGCATCTTTAAAGATTGTAGGACTATAATACACAGTTGCATCCGTTCCTGTGATCTGTTGGAAAGTCCGAATTCCACAACCTGCAATGAGCATCCGTTTAACCCCGGGTGACGGATTTAGTAATTCACGCCATACAGATCTCTCCTCGTGCTTTCCAACGTTGGCGAGCCCTGCAGCTAGTTGTATTTCAGCTAATCTCTCCTCTGCTTCTTTTGCATTTTCAGTTGTTTTGAGAAGCACCAACCTGGCTTTGGTCGTCATGCTTTGCATTACTAGCCACTGCGGAGATTCAGGGATGATAAACAGAGCAAAACAGGTGAAAGCTGAAGGGAGAATCCCAACGGCAAGCATGATCCTCCAATTTGTGTGTACGGGCAGCCATGAGAAGGCATAATTTGAAACATAACCAAGCAGGATCCCAAAATTAATGGAAATTTTAGGGATGGAGGTTATTTAATGAATATTTGTCTATGCCTTCCTTCTTGCCAGCAGATGCTCGAAATTGTGACGGTGAGATTGGCCAAAAAAACTTTTAGGGCTGAAGAATGGAGAAGAAAAAAGGAGAAGAATGCAGCTTTTTCCCTTTTGTTATTTTCCAAATTTTCATCCGTTAGAAAAAGTGGCTCCATTTGATTAGACCCGGTTTTGTTAGGTATAAAGTTGGATCTGACGGGAAATTGCTTCTCACGTTCAAAGTTCCGTCCCAATTAAATAATTGTCCTTCATTTCCCGTCAATTGTCCTTGATTGACCAAAATTACCTAACTTTGAGGATGAAATGTGTTTTGGGTGAAACTTTGAGGTGAAATTGGTCAACAACCCAAACTTTGAGGATGAAAAGTGCATTTTTCCCAATTCAATAATCTCCCCTTCATACATGATGTCCTAGGTCGGATCAGGATAAAATCAGTAATTTCCCTTTCACACATCGGCCTCTAGGTTGGATCGTCTCACACTTATAACCAAATACCCTGCCACAACTGATGTGGATAAATTCAACAATCTCCCCGTCACTTGTCAGGTCCTAGATTGGATTAGCATCACCTTGCCCCATCCACATCCCTCTCACACATCGGGCGCTAGGTTGAATCAGCATCTCGTCCGATAGGCCCATCACACATCGGGCTCTAAGTTGAATCAGCATTAATCTTTCATTCGACAGGCAACAATTGATCCGAATGTCTACTGGGAGGAGTTGTCATAATTGGGTTCTGATACTAGTGTTGGGTGCTGTCGGGCCTTCTCACTCCAAAAGCTATATAACTAAGTACCCTACCCCTTTCACAAGCGTAACGGATGTGAGATAAATTCAACAATAACTCTCATAGTCTGTGATACCAAGAGCTTGTCATATGATTTCCTTTCAGGGGAGTCAGAAGACCCGTGACAGAATTTTCAACCCCTTTTGGTGCTTATTTTTTCTGTTTATGATATGTAGATGTCTACGGATTCAAGCACCAGTAGTCATGTTTATGCTTTGTTTTGATGCTATCATTGACCAGTCAAAAGAATTACTGTGGCCTACCATGTGATTCAGATTTGATAGTGTACATTTTACATGGATATGCAACTATTACTTTTTAGCGTTTCTTTCTCTTCTGAATTGGCTTAATTCATAAATTTGTGCTCTTCTGATGAAGGCTTTTCCATGCTCCTAATCCTAATCATTATCATTACTATATAAAAAGTATGAATGTTGGTAATAGGGAGTGCAAGTGTAAGCACTTTTTTATCTTAGTTTTTGCTATTCCTAAATTATCTTCATGTCTTTTAATTAGAATTATTACATTTTAATGTGACACTAATTAAAAGAAATAAAACACTCCAATTGATTACGTTTTAATAGTATTAGTAATTATAATTTAAAATGGCTCATTAAAAACTATTTACCTACCCTTGGACTCCATCTCCAATTATTATACTTATCAAAATTTCTTAATTGAAGCATGAAAAATTTCTCATTAGTCATTAGTTGAGATTGTAAAAAAAAATTAATTTCAAAAAATAGATATTCTCTAAAAAATGGAGAAACATACAAGGACAAGAGAACCTTATTCATCAATAGCACCATACAAACCACTATTATCATTAATAGCAAGTTAGCAACCGATCAAAACAAGAAAAACTGAAAAAAAAATTGAAAACTATTTATAAAATGACATAAAGTAAATAGCAAATGAATTAAAAAGTTAGAATACAATTCAAATAATACCAAAGACAATATCCAAATCACAAATATTCAGGGGAAGACAAATAGTGTTATTGACAATAATATAGTAATGCTTCATTTGTATTTGTTTGAACAAACCAAATCCATCCATCAAGTCAGAAGCAATCTCCAATGATAAAATAAGAATTATAATAAGAGTAAATTTAAAATGAAGAATGATAAATTGAAAAAGATATTCAAATTATTCTTGGTGATGTCCAAAATACCATTATTTTTCTAATGATTACATATATTTACTTTATTGCAATATTAGTGAATAATGGAAGTGGTTATCAAATGAAAAACTTTAAAATTAAGTAAATTTCATTTGTGGTGATAATTGTAAGTAGACAGATTTAGTGCATTCCAATAATTAATAATAATGATAGCAGTTATGGATTAAAAGTTGGTAATTAAAAAATAAGACACTGTAATATACAAAAAATTAATATTAAAATTATTAATTAGCCACAAGTCTCATTCCAATTCTATGATCGTAAAAAAAAACTACTACTAAAACCAAAAATATTGTGCTCATATGAAAAAAGTAGACTTGTTGCTTTTGCTTCGCATTGGATTGTGATAAAAATATGAATAAAAGAAAAGGAAAATAGAAAAACTCCAACTATCTCTATCTATAATATTTCAATTGTTAGAATATACAAACCAAAAAAACTTTACGTGGTAGATCATCTATACTCCATTATTGACAAAAATAGAATTAACATAATACAAAGAATTCAAATTACATTTATGTTTATTTTTCTAACTTAATTATATTCTTTGTTTGTAAAAAATTGTGATGATTGTGGTTTATATGCAATAGAATCATGAATATACAATAATTTTGGTAAAACATGATATTATCAATATTTGATATGTTTGAGTTTAAGCTATAAATCAAAAAGTATTTGGTTCATGATTTCAAATTCAATTCTAAAGGATATGTCAACTATATTGGAATGTTTTTTGTCTCTTTTTATTTAATAAAATTTTTAAAAGTAACTAGCTTAAAAAATAAATAACATAAAAATACTATATTATGATGTTGATGATCAAAATTTCATAAAAAATTTTACTATCTAAAGAAAAAAAAATTTTAAAATATTACAATCATATGCAAAGCATGTGAACTATTACTAGTTCTGTAAGAATCTTATTCCTGCTTGTATCACATTGACTTTAGCATTATATGCTTTTCTGCACTAAGAATCTCTTCACTTTACAGTAAAGCTACTGGAAATGAACAATTAATTTGCTTTCTTACTGTAATAATCTATTCTAGGAATTGCAGGCTAGGTGCTTCAGTGGAATGAACATTGTTCTTGTTTGATGTTAGGCTTAGAGAGTATGACTGAGATGATATGTGTTCTTATCTCAAACTTTCTAGGAATCTTAGGAGCTGCAACTTGAGGGGAAAGGTTCTTGATCTAACTAGGATTCACAACCTTCTTTTCCTGTAACTCTCACATGATGATTCTTCATCAATATTTGAAGTCGGAATTAAGATACTTGCAGAATATTTAGCAGGTTTTTCTCTTTAAATAATGTGATCATCTCATCAGAAAAGTCGATTTTTTTTATTAATCTGCTGGGCAAGTTTTTCTTTTGAAAGAATGTGAGCATCTGTAAAGTTGACTGTTTCTTGTGGTTATAGGACGGAGCTGCATGTGTAGTTGTTACCAACATTATGGGCAATGGGTTCAGAAGTTGAAGTACTTGAGTAGAGATTGAGTTTGTTTTTGGGTGAGCTGCAGAAAGAATTTGAAATTTTTGATAGAATTGTCTACAAAAATAAGAATCAGCATCAAAGGTGCTCTTATTGTCAGTATCTGCTCAAGGTAGGTAGTTCTTCTGCTAAAGTTTCAATTTTACTTGCCTATTATAAAGCACTAACCTGTACGTTTCTAAGCTTAGATTTCTGTTTACCCAAAATTAATTGTGATTCTGCTGACAGGTGAGAAGGGATTTGAGGCTTCTGCAATCAGCAAATTTGGGGGAAATCTTGAACTCCTGCTTTGTTGCAATCCATAGAAAAAGACCTAAACAAAAACTGCAGCTTTTGGAAAGGTATAAACAAAAAGGAGGATCCTTATCCTAATTTCTTGTTAACCTTATGCATTGATGACTGTGCTTATTGATGCTTGTATCTTGTTATGGAGCAATTAGCAAGACTCTGAAGAGGGTTCATTGCAAAGTTATAAATCTTCAAAATTTCATGAGGCTTCAAAAATGTAAAATTGGAATTTGAAAATTATTTGCCAAGGAAAATTGATTTAGAAATTACTCTATCTAATGTACAAGTAATAGCAATTGAACTGTTATGTTCTATAGTATTTCATATACATAAATTTTTGGATATTTCTATGCATGTCTGTTTTACACTGCATTTTCAGTTTGAAGAGGAGAATGTCTGATGTTGGTAAATATAGCTTTTTGGAACGGCTTCTTGGAGTTGCACGTCTACTATCGCAGGTAGTAATTTGTTCATGATTTGCTGTCATAACTGTGTTTCTCTAACTTGTTATTGTACCTTCAGCCCTCAACGAACCTGAAGTCTCAATGGGAGGCATGCCATTAAGCTACAATATTATATATGTTCTTGTCAAACATTTCCATTGTTAATTTGTTATGATGTCCAATTAGTCATTGTATATCAAGATCTTTAGGTCTTAGAGGAGTCAGACTCTTGGTTAGTTTCAGTCTCTTCCATTTTTCTTAGCAAGTCTTTTCTTTTTTAACTGCAACAGCAAGTCATATGTTGTCTTATTCCTTTCCTTCCCTCTTCATCTACTTCTCTGGTACCATTGTAAGCTATTCCCTCTAATCATGTTGCTGAAGGTAATCGTCTAAAGAACTTATGCTATGCTTTTGATTCTCCTCTTCCCGTAGATAATGACACTGACGCTGCAAATCCTGAATCTGCTCCAGAAGGTCCTGATGGCAATTAAGGTCAAGACATTGGTTCTTTGGCTGATCCTGTTTCACAAGGTGAGTATATAAGAGACGGTTCTTCCATTGCAGGACCTACTGCAAAGAGTAGCATGACTGTGGAAGATGGCCTACTTACAACTTCAAAGCTTATCTCCGCATTTGAGTCCTTTTAACACACAAGGCCGGGGAGAAAAAGGTTGCCCTCTTAGCGGTGAGAATGATTCTGGTGTCAAACTAACAGACAAAATGGGATGCATTTTTCAGTCTGCTTATTGGTGACAATAAGAAGAGCAGTAGTGTCTCCTAGGAGCATATTCAGACCAAAAAGCCAGTCATATTGGGCTTTTTCCCCCTCTCTATGGCTGTTTTTTTTTTTTTTTTTCTTTTCATTTTTTCCCAATTACGCTTAACGTGGTTTAAACCTTTGGAGCAACTCCAATGGCGTGTCATGGGAGGTACTCATTACACGTATCATCATCAGAATGATGCGTGTAAATGTTGCTAAAAAAAAAAAGGATATAGTGGGGCCCTTTTTTGCAACGGATAAATTTGGTATCGCTATCACGTATGATATTTTCACATTTGAGGTATCACATATATTTGGTTAATAATTACATAATTATTTTTTAGAAAATAACAATATATTATTTTTGAGAGATAGAAAAAGATATATTGTCCAAACTTAGAAATTAATAATATTATTTTTTTAGAAAATAAAAAAAAAACCAAAAGGTAAAAAATTAATGAAAATTAATAATTTATTTTTTAAAAATAACAGAATTATTTTTTAAAAAAATTACATTATTTATTTACGGGATATGAGTTGTGCATTATTAAAATAAATGTTTGATTTGATTGTAGAGCCATACTATTATCCCGTGTTTCCTTAGTAACATAAAGCCAATAGTCATATCATACAACGTCCACCTTGCAAAAGAATTTCTAGGCTGATTTTTGTCATATTTTGAATGCTCAACAACTATCCAAAAGCAGGTAAGTTGAACAGTACGCTAAGAGCTTGCCACTCTTCAATGAAGAATTGATTGCTTAAGTTTTACATTATAGGATAGACGGCATTTGGACTGCATTTTATAGCTGTTGATGTAAATTTTATTGAAAGGAAATCCAAAAGCAGTTTAGAATGGTGAAAGTCGATTATTTCGCAAAAGTGGTCTCGAAAGAATCAAATGATTCAAAATGTTGAAGTGATTTTTAGAATTAGTTTTAATGAAAATTAATTTTTTTAAAGTAAAATGAGATGTTTGACAAATAATTACTGGAGAAACCCAAAAAAGGAAAAAAATTAAAATACTGAATTAATAGTGAATCAAATGGTTCATGAAACCAGTCATTTGCTTGGGGAAAACTGATTCCATGATTACTAAGAGCAGCCAAACTGAACCAACCAAAGATCAAGTAACTACATCCTCATCTATAGGCATAACATTGACCAGCGTCAAAACGGAGAAGGGATCCAGATAAAATATAAACCATATTCATGCATCAACAGAACGTTCTTTTCCCAGTAAAGCCTAAAAGATAAGTTTGAAGAATAATACAAAATTTAGTTTAATACAACAAAATAATTAATAACTACCGCAAAACTGACTCAATATCCTGACTATTCCTGCCTGTCTTTGGGTTTAAAGGGGGATCTTATGGGGTCTGCTGGCCACAATTCTGGGAATGAATTAACTCCAGTTGCCTTCTCTCACAGTTCTGGGAGGACCTCTACAAGCAACTTTGAAATCTTCTAGTTCTGGGACCAAATTACGATAAATATTTGCACCAGCTGCTAGTCAAAAGAAATAACCTCCTCTTGAACATCTAGTAATTCCTCCACTTCTACGTCTTTGGCCTCGTATTCCTCCTCTTCATCACTGGCTTCCCCATCACGAAGCTTCTGTCTTTCTAATTTTTCCTCTTCTTGCAGCTGTTTCCACTCGCTGATCCACCTCTCCCACTCTTCCTTCACAATCTTTCGCTTCTCGCGTTCCTGCTCACTCAACTGGAGGGAGACATCCTGATCCTCTGCTTCATACTTCTTGCTGTACTTCTTCAGGTTCTTGGATATCTCTTCTTCCTTCTCAGGGCTCAAAAGGGATGGAGGCCTTGGACGCCAAGAAAACTACGATATAACCAATGTAAGTTTCAAGTTTTCAAACACAAAAAAAGGAAAAAAAAATACTAAATGTGAAATTGTGTAGTTTTACCTGGAAAAAGTGATCCTTGAGAATACGATATAACAGTTTGCCATTGAATGACCATATGTTGAAACCATTTTCCATCTCATGAACTGAAGTTACTGACGTAGCAACATACCTGCATATGAAAATTTGATGCAATCAAAAAGAATTAAAACAAAACAAAATGTCAAGACTAAGCAACTATCAGTCTTTTAGACTCCAAGTACTACACAGATTCTACAATTAACTTGAGCAAAAACATTCAAGTTTTAGAACCAGGAAAGAGACTTCAGACACATTACAACAAGATGGAAGCTTTACTCCTAATCAACTCGATGTAAATAGATCGGTTATTACCTTCCCGTGGGATCCCATTCAATATCTGTTGCCATGAAATGCTCAGCTGTTGCCATGGTTTCAAGCTCATCAACATTGTAGAACTCCAATTGCCCATTGAAATTTTTCAACCCAGCCAGCACAATGAACCGACCAGCTGGTGACCAGTAAAGTGCATTTGCCTGCTTGCCCTTGATAGTTGTGAGTTTTGAAACCCGACCAGTATTATGAGCAGTCCGCATTGAGTAGAAACTTATGTCAGGCCTAGGGTTATCGCCATGAATAACTGCAAATCTATGGCCCTTTGGCTCCCAAGCAAATGCAATAATCTTATCATTCTTATTCTCAAGTTCCAATACTTCAATGGGAATATCTCTCTCTTTAATTCTGAAAAGCTCAAACCCAGTATACGTACTCTTCTTTGTTTTTGTGTACCGATCAACTTTCACAGCCAGGTAGTCACCATTGCTTTGCCAATACATTTTGCAGTCACTAACACTAAAAAGATTCTTCTGCCTCAATTCCTCCTTGCTTGGGATTTGCACAAGACTTACCTATTATTAGATTGTAAACTATTAGCCTTTAGAATAGAGGAAACAAAAAAGTCAGGTGTATACCACATGGAGCTTCTGTACTCACCCTTGCAGGCTGATTCCCTCCACCAAGTTCTGGAACAAATAGTGCAAGGATAGGATCGGTCGGTGACCAACTAAAGTCCATGACATTTTCAACCTTTATGGATTTCTTGTCAATAAGAGTAAATGTCTCAGTTTCATAAACAGAGATGACGTTCTTCCCTATTCGGGCAAAGTATTTGTCATCCTTCCCACCACCCCACCTGAAAAAAGATCCATCCACTTTTCCAAGTCAAAAATTTTCACAATTACATGCAATCATAGAAAAAATGAAACATGCCTCCCTGCACCAGGTCAACAAGGGCAATCAGTATACATAAGCAAAAGGTCACCTGAAAACAGGCCAAGAAACACCAGTAACGCCCCCAGTTCCTCCAATAGCAAATTCATCTACACTTCCCTTGAAATCTCGCATTACTTTTCCAGATCTCACATCAAAAATGTTGAGAACTACCCTCTGCAAAAATGAGTCTATATCAGGAAAAGTCCTACAGGGTTCTGAAAACGTGTTGCTACACCAGAATACACATTTCTGTTGGTGTAATGCTTCTACTGTCACTCTTGTTATTGCAATGCATCGCATAATAAGGTGAATTTGTAGATTAACCTTGATTTTTAAAATTTACGGAGGAATTACTCAACGAATATGTTTCATGACTTCTATTAAGGGAGTGCAACAATTAATATCAAATAGCAAAAAGATAATCAGTAAGGAAGAAGATATAATAAAAGATCATAAGGAAAGTATGTAATGGGTTAAATAACAAATGAACTAGATAAAACACATTACATGAGTATCACGAGGATTGCTAGGTTCATGGCTGCTGTAAGTCACCAAAAACCCCTCACCAGGAGAAAAATCGATCAGTCTAACCTGCAATTGAGACATTAAAGTCAAGTGCTTGAAAGATTAGAACTTTAGCTTGCTAACATCATAGTTATTAAAATATGACCTGAGGGTGAGCATAGCGCGTTAAGCGATTGAAAGCAGAGGCACCACCCCAAACTACAGCACCTTGCCTGTGCAGTGTGGCTAAATAGGTACCCAGCGGGGACCACTGAACAAAACTCTCGGTCCAGAACTGAGAGAAAAAATAATGGGGTAAAAAAGGCATCAGAGAAACATAAAACATGGAAGTTCTAAAAAGGAAGGAGAAAAATGTATTCAGAAGGGTACAAGGACAATTCATCCAAGTAAAATCCAGTATAAGATGCATTAAACAACATAAATTCACGAGCAATGAACCAAATGAAACAGAAAGAACTACAAATTTCAAGTCACTCACAGGACGTTTGTAAACAGGATCAGGCTTCAACTGTCTAGCATCATTCCACAGCACCTCGGTGTCACTGCCAGCACGAATTACAAATTGATCTCTAGCTTTCTCATCAGTAAGCCAGTGTTGCAGATTTTCCTGAAACCAGTACACAACCCACTCAGATAAAAACTTACTGAACAGAACAATTCAGGCAGAAGAGAGAATCCTAAGATTAGCAGCACTTGAAAAGAAAGAAGCCAACCCCTGGTGAGTAAGGTTTAATTTCTGGAGGAGCCCACTCATCTGGAACTTTCATAAACTTTTCAATGTCATCAAACATGTTCACAGCAAATATATGAGATCTATCCAACTTGTATCCATTAGTCTTCTCTTTTGCAAGTTCAGCTTCCTTCAATGCCATCAAACAAGATCAGTTAGCCAGATGAAACTAATTATCAATTGCAACGAGACATTATGGCAACCTATTAGTTTATTTGCATATAGACACAACTCTTCCCCGCCCCAATGCCTCCCCTCCCCCGGCCCAAAAAAAAAAACACCTCCACCCCAAAAAAAAAGGAAAAACAGAAACAATAGGTCGTTATTTCTTTATACTGTATAATGCCATAACCCTCGCCTATGCACCAACCCTTGCTGTGTTTCTAAAAAAGCAATCACCGCATATCAATATCATCTAAAACAAATACACATTTGTCTGATCTTCAGCTAATACGCAGCTTTTGTATTTCAAGAAGCTAGCAGATACTACTTATTGAATCATCAAGATAAGCCATCATTCCAAACGTTAAAGCAATTTCATACATTTTCCCTCTCCAGGCTAATATCATATGCTTCTGGCCCGTTTTAATAAAGCTCATTTACATATTTTCTCCAATTATAAGCAAATTTTCTACACCCCATACGATAGCAAAGTCCACAAATTAATATCCAAAAAGATTTTTCTTTTTAACTCTACCTGAGGTGTATTATACTCTATAAAACAGTATCCCAGAGTTTTGCCAGTATGGTCAACTGGCATCCATAAACCGTCATCCTTAATCACCCCAATCTGGCTATAAATTTTGCGAATAACCCCTTCCAATTTTTCAAATTTCTCTTTAGGAACCACGGGCAAATTGTCCACCACAATTATGTTGCCGAACC